TATTAATATTATATATATATCGGAGATCATGACCTCAGTATTATAACTATAATTAACTAAGGGTGGGTGAATCATTATTAACAAGGCTTCATATTATTACCTTTGTGGTTTACAACTATAGGGAGGAGCAGAAAAGTGAGATATCACGACTATTTATTATAACTTCTGTTGAGTATGAAATTTTAATCATCCACCTCACAGTGGACGTGATTGTATGAGTGATGTTATTTGACCCTGACATGGTATAGGTGAGAAATCGTTGGTGGAGGAGAAAACAGAATATGATAGGGAAATTTTAATATTAATATAAAGCTAAATTAACATGAGTTTTTTTTTACATTATTTTGAGCCAGCAAAGCAACTAAGGAGAGCGAAAAAAATATATTGTAATGTTGTTAAAGACAAGGATTTGGTATACTTTAAAAAAGGATTCTGTTTTTTTCTGTTTTATTGAGCAGTCTTCATTTATTTCCGAGAGTAGTCACATTAATCACATATCTTTCGGACGTAATTCATGTTACAGATAAATAGATTCCAAATTCTAGAGACTTTCTTTAGAAAGACCCGACATTCTTTGTTCAATACAAGTGCATGTTGTTTGTGTTAGGAGTTTTTTATGTTGTATTGTTTTGGTGACATCGGGGGAGGGGGAAGGGGCAATTTTTAAAAAGATTGGGGTTTGGTAGGAAAATATGGACATTCAGCAACACAATGATGGTAAAATATATTTCTCTTAAAAGTATTGTATCAACATTTAAAAATTGCTGAAACAGCACTTGTCCATAATTCATTGTTTCTGTACGAGTCTAGAAACAAAATTGATGACTTCATCGTTTGCTTTTGTTGTTTGTTTGTTTTTCGTTTGCTGTTGTTTTGTTAGTTTGTCATTTTAAAAGAAGATAAAAAACCTAGACAGAAAAAGAAATGTTATCTTTGTATTCTCAGCAGGAAAATAACCTTCAAAGATAATAATTTTGTTAGAACAAGGGCTTCACTTAAAGAGCTACTGACATAGCATTGGTCCGGAATTCAATTTCGGGGGTAAATTTATGAGTCTG